ATCTCCTGCATCAGGAGCCTGATGATGCTTTCAGGAGCTGATGCTCCAATCTCCTGCAACAGGAGCCTGATGATGCTTTCAGGAGCTAATGCTCCAATCTCCTGTATCAGGAACCTTCCAGGGGTCTGATGAGGGAGACTGGCTTATCGGCAGGCCTGTGGAGAGCAACACGCATTCCAAGAGGCACAGTCAGCCACTATCTCTGACCAGGGCACCGCTGCCTGTTTCCTACTTGAGTCAAAATCCGAGCACAAGAGATTTTGTTGCGATGCAATGCATAAGTCGCCCTTGTTTCTGTGAGCCGTGACTGAACCACATAGAACCGGTCTGAAGCCCCGTCATGAAGCCAGCATAAGCCACTGTGAGCAGAACACCTAATTCAGCACTGAGCATATCACGTTTTTTTTTTTTTAATGCCTGTTTTTAAATTTTAATGTAGTAGATACTTGTTAAAAGGAGTCCTGGTGGCGTAATGGTTAAGTACTCAGTTGCTAACCCAGAAGGTTGGTGGTTCAAACCCACCACTGGTTTCATGGGAGAAAAGACCTGTCGATCTGGTCCTGTAAAGATTATAGCCTAGGAAACCCTGTGGGGCAGTTCTACTGTGTCTTACAGGGTCAGTATGAGTTGGAATTGACTCGACAACACACAACAACAAGAAATCTGTTGAGGGCAGTCTCCCCGTTAGAAAAATTATACCCCGCTCCACTTTGTTGTTCTTGTTGGTTGCTGTCAAGTCAGCCTCCGACTCACGGACACCTGCACAACAGAACAAAACCTTGCCACATCCTACGCCATCTCCATGATGGCTTGCTGGTCGGACTGGTGTGATCCAGAGGGTTGCACTGGCTGATTTTCAAAAGTAGATCACCAGGCCTTTCTTCCTAGTCCATCTTAAGTCTGGAAACGTCACTAAAACATCATCATAGTAACAGGCAAGCCTTCGCCGACAAACAGGTGGTGGCTGTGTATGAGGTGCATTGACCAGGAATCAAACCCAAGTCTCCCGCATGAAAGGCGATAATTCTACCACTGAGCACCACCGCACTGCACTGCACCTAACCATGTGTAAGGTACTGGATGACCCCCTCCCATCC